TATGTGCAAAAAGGTAGGTTTTGGTTTCAATGAAGATGTATGTATATTCAGAAGTACTTATACATTTCTTTAAATTACCTTACTTGGACCAAAAAAGTTTTCATTTTTATTCTCCTGTAGAATGTTTACCAGTTTCTCTATTTTAATTGTGTAGGATTTCTGTTTTATTTCGTTTTGGTTTTTTGATTTTAAAATTTTAAATATTTAAAAAATAGAGATGGGGGGGTCTCACTATGTTGCCCAGTCTGATCTCGAATTCCTAGTCTCATACAGTCCTCCTACCTTGGCCTCCCAAAGTGCTGAGATTACAGGTGTGAGCTGCCACGTCCAGCCTCTACTTAATTTTGAAAGAAGTGTTACAACCAGTATGCCCATTACTGAGTCTCCACTCATCTAAAATCCAAATTTGTATCCCCCGTTTATAACTTGTATTTGAGAATATATACCAAGATTATTTAGATCATATGGTACTCTTGGACCAGACAGTAAAATACCATTCCAGATACATGCCTTCATTGGAAAATAGCTTGAACATTATTTTGTGAAGATGTGGTTATGATATGCTTCCTCGTAAAGTAAATCGTTCATGTTGCTGATATCCATAGTGAAAGATATAAACATTGTAGCTTATTCTAGTTAAAATAAGTGTTTGACAGTGATGGAAGTCTTTCTAAAACGTTGGTTTTAGAAAGAACAAAATAGGAAACATTCCTTAACTTCTTTTTTATAACCTAAGATCTGCCAGTGTGACTACCAGTACCAGTGCTTTGATTTCTATCACCTGTTATAATTTATCAAGCACTTTTACATGCATTATCTCAGCAAATTACATGGGAAGATGAATTCTCACATTTATGGAGACCTTCTTAAAGGGCAAAATCACACTCATATAAATACATATACAATTCTTAAGCTTTAATTTGTCCCCAAATTTTATTTTTTGGCTAAGGGCCATCACTGAGAGAACAAAGATATTTTGAGGCACAAACACCATACCCACTCACTGGTTAAGTGGGCTCCATTTGGTTTGGACAAATTCATATTTATGCCTCAGTGAATTATAAGTTACTGTGTACTGTGGATCTTTGGAGTCACTTAAAACAAGTTAAGATCGTGACTGGTGAGTTTGCAGGTGCTAAAGCGTTGAGTGTGTGGTACTTTGTAGCGTCTCTATCTTTTTTTGCCTTCGTTCTGTCACCTCTTCTTGCCTGCAGCTAGGTGCTAGATATTTACGGTCCTTTGTCTTTTTCTTTTTTTTCTTTTCTTCTTTTTTTTTGAAATGGGGTCTAACTGTGTTACCCAGGCTGATCTTGAACTCCTGGGCTCAAGCAGTCCTCCCGCCCTGGCCTCCCAAATTGCTGAGATTGTAGGCATGAGCCACCACCCCCAGCCGTACAGTCCTTTTTCCAATCTAACTTTTTCACCTCAAGAAATCTGAAAGACCAGATAACAAAGGTTTTTAGTTTTTCTGTTTTTCTTGTAAAAGACTAATTAATAAGCTCCTTGTGATCTCTCATTCACTTCTTTCCAAAGTAAAATGCAAGACCTTTATATAATGTATCAAAGGACTCTCCCCCTCCACTTTGTTTAGGCTGCAGTGGTTGAGGGTACTAGAAATTTAATCTCTGAATATAAAAGATACTACTATAGCTGTATTTGGACATACTGTTGGATATTTTGTAGGTTTATTCATAAATCCTTAGATAACTAGTAAAACAAAAAGTTTAATAAAAGTGTATGTTCACCTTGTTTCCCAAGAGTGGTACTATGCAATTTCGTCGTTTTATTTTCTTGCCTAAGTGATAAAGATTTTTATATGTGATCCTGGCTATTTGGGAGGTTGACGCAGGAGGACCACTTGATCCCAAGAGTTCAAGACTAGGCTGGTGGGCAACATAGTGAACCTTTTTTTTTTCCTTTTTTTTTTTTTTTTGTTTTGGAGACAGAGTCTCGCCCTGTCACACAGGCTGGAGTACAATGGCGTGATCTCGGCTCACTACAACCTCCGCCTCCTGGGTTCAAGCAATTCTCCTGCCTCAGCCTCCCGAGTAGCTGGGATTACAGGTGCGTCCCACTATGCCAGGCTAATTTTTTTGTATCTTTAGTAGACAAGATTTCACCACATTGGCCAGGCTGGTCTCGAACTCCTGACCTCGTGATCTGCCCGCCTCCACCTCCCAAAGTGCTGGGATTACAGGGGTGAGCCACTGCACCCGGCCTGAGACCTTCTTTCAAAAAGAAAAGAGAAGAAAAAGAAAATTGTTTAAAACCTTAATAAATAGCCCAGCACGGTGGCTCACGCCTGTAATCCCAGCACTTTGGGAGGTGGAGGT